TGGGCCGTCTTTGGGCCATTTGGGGGGCCGTCTTGGGAGCCTCTCGGGCCGTGTTGGGGCCATCTTGGAAGCCTGGGCGATCGCGAGGTGATATTGGAGGCTTCTTGGGCCTTCGGAAGGCCGAAAAGAAGCAAGAACTGACATTCTGCAACCACCTCAGGAAAATCACAGAGTTTGGCCTCTTCGTGCTTTCCTGTAGGACCTCTTGGAGACCTTTTTGGCCGTCTTGGAGGCCTCTTGGGGGCCTCTGGGGCTGTCTTGGGCCATCCATCTTCGGCCATCTTCGGTGCATCTTGGGCCGTCTTTGGTTCATCTTGGGGCCATCTTGGGCTCTCGTAGGCCCATCTAGGCCGTCTTGGAGGCCATCTTGGCCGTCTTGGAAGCGATGGGGCAACGTAGAACGAATTCTCGGCGACCTTTCGAATGGCCGGCGCGCTGGACCGAAGCCCCAGGGGGAGTTTCAAAAAGAATCAGAAACAACCCAACATTCAGCACGCAAGGCACCCCTACCTATGAGAAGTTGACAGGGGGCGGCGGGTGATAGAAAGCGCGCGTAGCGTCGCGAACGGGTAGCCGGAAGAGATATCAACGGGTAGTGTGAGGGGGTTGGCCTCGGCGGACCCAGATGACAGAAAGCGTGCGTAGCGTCGCGATCCGTTAATCGGGAGAAATAACAAGAGGGGGTTGGCTTCGGCGGGCCAATGGCACAAATTTCGGTCATGTTCGGCCCTGGCCCAAATCAGCCCTAAGAGCGCCTCAGAGGGAGGCTCAAGACGGCCTCAGGCAGCCCCAAGAGCGCCCAAGCTCCCGCCACGACGGCCTCAGGGAGGCCCGAGAAGCCCCACGACTGCCCGAGAGCGCTCAAAGAGGGCCCAGGACGGCCTCAAGACTGCCAAAGAGGTCATCAAGACGTTCCACGAGGCTTTCAAATGCCGAAGAGGCAAACATTGTCCAACAAAAACTACCTTTTTAGCAGATCTGCTCCTTTGATCTTCACAGTGTCGACGAAGGCCCAAAGGACCGCCATGATCCCCACAAGACGGCGCAAGAGGTCCCAATGCGGCCCCAAGAGGGCACGGCACGAGAGGGCTCCAAGATGGCCCAAGAGGGCCCCAAGACGGGCCAAGAGAGGCCCCTGAGGGCCTCAAATCGTTCCTCAGAGAGCCCCAAGAGGGCCACAAGAGATCCCCAAGACGGCCCCAGGGGGCTCCAAGACGGCCCAAGCCCACCAAGATGGCCCAAGCCAGGGCGCTTACGATGGCATGGCTTCCATAGCACAGAACAGGTCGGCAGAAAACTACACAAATTACCGCTGGCAAGTAGACCACCGCTTTGGATTAACGAGATCTCATCCAAAGAAGCCCAGACGTTGCGCAGTGCAACGAAACCACGGCCCAAGGTGGGCCCAGGACGACCCAAGAGGGCTCCAATACTGCCCAAAGGAGCCCCAACAGGACCCCCAAGAAGGCCCAGAGGGGCCACATTCATTGATGTTTCACCAGGTGGGTGTGCCAAAGTCTGAATACCAAGAGGGCTCCAAGACACTGAGCAAGCGATCTCGCGCCCTCACAGAGTACGAGCGCTGTCCGTCCCCGTGCCAAGCAGGTGACAGAAAGAGCGAAGTACGAGTGATGACGTTGAATTGGGGAGAAGCCCTTTAGGGAGGGATCCAGGGGAGGAGGGGGGGAACCGGGGCATAGGTCTAAAGGCCTTCCGGATTCCCCCTCCCACAAGATGCCCCCAAGACGGCCCAAGAGGCGTCCAGGACGGTCCAAGATTTCCCCAAGGCGGCCCAAGAGGGGTCCAAGACAGCTCCAAGACGACCCAAGAGCGCTCCAAGAGACCCCAAGACCGTCCAAGAAATTTCCAAGACGGCCTAAGAAGGCCTCACGACGGTCCAAGGGGGCCCCGAGACGCCCCAAGATGCTTGCAAAAGGGCATCCCAAGAGGGCCCAGCAAAGAGGCAACATTCATCGATGGTTCTTTTGTTTTTGATTGTTTTTCAGGTTATAGCTCCCCAGAGCGTGGTGGCGTAAAAACTCTCAAGAGCAAGGCTCACAACAGCGAGCGGCAACGTAAAAGTCTCTGAACACCAGAGGCCCCAGCAGTGAGCTGTGACGTAACAAGCTCTTAACACCAAGGCTCCCAAGAGCGTAGATTGCCATAAACCATCTCGGGCAAGTTCCTGAAGCGCTCTTTCCGTTCCCGCGCTCTCCCGTGTAACGGAAGAAGCGAGGTACGAGTGATGACGTTCTGTTGGGGCGAAGCTTTCTAGGGAGGGGTCGAGGGGAGGGGCAAGGCGCGTGAGATTTGGATCCAATGGCCAGACCCCCCCCCCCAGACTGCCCAAGAGGCGACCCAAGACGTCCCAAGAAGCGCCCAAGACGGCCCAAGAGGGGTCCAAGAGGGCTCCAAGATGAACCAACGCGCCCCAAGAAAGCCCAGGACCGCCTAAGAGCGTTCCAAGATGGCTTCAGATGGCCTCAAGACGGCCCAGGAGGGTCCCAAGAAGGTCCAATAGGCCCCAAGAGGACCCCCGGGAGGGCCTAAGGAGGCCAAAAACATTCATGCTCCGTACGTGTGTGTATGGTTTCGCTGATCCCTGCTTTTTCATGCCAATGACGGCCCAGGACGGCCCAGGAGACCCCAAGGATCGTCCCAAGACGGCCACAGGGGCCCCAAGAGGTCCCCAAGACGGCCCAAGATAGCCCCAAGACGGGCCAAGAGTGCCCCAAGACAGCCCAATAGGGCCCGAAGATGGCCCCAAGAGAGCCCCAAGGGGGCCCCAAGAGGCTCCCAGCCCCCAAGAGAGCTCCAAGACGGCCAGAGGCTTCCAAGACGGCCCAAAAGGGCCCCCAATTGGCCCAAGAGGACCCCAAGACTGCCCAAAAGGGCCCCGAAAGGACCCTGAGGAGGCCAAACAACATTGGCCCCAGGACGGCCCAAGAGGACCCCAAGAGAGCCAAACAGGACAGGGCCCCATCAGGACCCTCAGGTTGTTGCAAACTGTTCGGATTTTCGCCTGTTTGGGCTTCCGACGGCCCAGGACGGCCCAAGAGGCCCCCGAGATCGTCCCAAGATGGCCCCGGAGGTCCCCAAGAGGGCCCCAAGGCGCCCCAAGCGCCCCCCGGGACGGCCACAGGGGCACAGAGGGCCCCAAGACGACCCAAGAGGGCGCCTAGAGGCTCCCAAGAGAGCCCCATGACCAAGAGGCCCCCAAGGCGGCCACAGGAGGACCCCAAGACGGCCCGAGGGGCTCCAAGACGGCCCCAAGAGGGCCCCAGGACGGGCCGAGGGGGCTCCAAGACTGCCCAAGTGGGCCCCCCGGACGGGCCAAGAGAGGCCTCCAAAAGGGCCAGGCCACGCGTACACTCCGCGGACGGCTCGTGTGCACCGTACCGCGTTGGCGTCTCCCGAGGCCGAGGGGCGGCTTGGCCTCCTCCTCCTCCTCCTCCTCCTCCTCCTCTTCCTCCTCCTCCTCCTCCTCCTTCTCCTCCTCCCCCTCCTCTTCCTCCTCCTCCTCCTCCTGCCTCCTCCTCCTCCTCCTCCTCCTCCTCCTCCTCCTCCTCTCCTCCTCCTCCTCCTCCTCCGCCTCCTCCTCCTTGTATTATTCCTCCTCCTCCTCCGCCTCCTCTTCCTCCTCCTCCGCCTCCTCCGCCTCCTCCTCTTTCTCCTCCTCCTCCTAGTCTTTATCCTCCTCCGCCTCCTTCTCCTCTCTCCTGCTCCTCCTTCTCCTCATCCTGCTGCTGCTCCTCCTCCTCCGCCTCCTCCTCCTCCTCCTCCTCCTACTACTCCTACTCCTACTCCTTCTCCTCCTCCTCCTCTTCCTCCTCCTCCTCCTCCTCCTCCTCCTCCTCCTAGTCCTCCTCCTCCTCCCTCCTCCTCCTCCTCCTCCTCCTCCTCCTCCTCCTCCTCCTCCTCCTCCTCCTCTCCTCCTCCTCCTTCTCTCCTCCTCCTCCTCCTCCGCCTCCTCCTCTTAGTCTTTCGTCTCCCCCTCCTCCTCCTAGTTGCTCCGCATCCTCCTCTTCCTCCTCCTTCTAGTCTTTCTCATCTTCCTCCTCCTCCTCCGCCTCCTCCGCCTCCTCCTCCTCCTCCTTCCCTCCTCCTCCTCCTCCTCCTCTCCTCCTCCTTCTCCTCCTCCTCCCTCCTCCTCCTCCTCCTCCTCCTCCCCCTCCTAGTATTCCTCCTCCTCCTCCTCCTTCTCCTCCTCTTCTCCTCCTCCTCCTCCGCCTCCTCCGCCTCCTCCTCGTCCTTCTCCTCCTTCTCGTCTTCATCCTCCTAGTTCCTCCGCATCCTCCTCCTAATCCCCCTCCTCCTCCTCCTCCTCCTCCTCCTCCTCCTCCTCCTCCTCCTCCTCCTCCTCCTCCCCCTCCTAGTCTTCCTCCTCCTCCTCCTCCTCCTAGTCCTCCTGCCTCCTCCTCCACCCCAAGGCGTACGCATGCATGCAGCCGGAGGGAGGCCCGGAGGGCGAGGGGGACGCTGCGGAGGGTGCTCGTCGCGGAAGGGGTTGCTTAGGCCGTGCCCGAGAGGCGTCGCCGATTTGCGAGACAGGAATGGTACGGTGCATCGTCTTCTCGGCCCATAGACGCGTAAAGCGATGCACCGTACCGCGATCGGGCGGGGCCTGATGAGAATGTAAGCATGGTATGGTGTGCGGGTGCCGTTCTCGTATGTAAGGCGCACGAAATACCCAGTCGCTGCTGCCTTGGGGGGTCGCAGCCACCAACTGGGAAGTGGACGACTCGATCGATAGTCCTTGTTCGTCGTTTTCGTCACCGCCGAGGCCGCCAGGCCGCAGCCAACAACCCAGACGAGCAGTAATTGTATGCTTCATCGTCCCTGCCCGATTTGTTGTCAAGTCGCTTGGTCGCTTTGCCCCCCCCTGTCCACCCGAACACGGTCCGTCCACGCTGCAAGGAGGGGACGGAAAGGAGGGTGGAGTGCAAGGTGCAGGTGGGGTGGGGGGTACTGGTGGAGTGTACTATCGGTGAGCACCTCAGGACTACTACGCGCTGATCGGGGTCGGCCAGGATGCCACACTCCACGAGATCCGGTCCAAGTTCAGGCAGCTGCTCATCCTCCTCATCTTTCTCTCCCGTCCGCCTCCTCCTCCCTCCTGGTTCCCCCATCGTCCTCATCCTCGTCCCAGGCAGCGGGTGCTCGCGGAGCACCCAGACAAGGGCGGCGACCCCAAGAAGTTCCAGCTCCTCAACAAGGCGTACAACGTTCTGACCGACCAGGAGAAGCGGCGGCGGTACGACGCCACCGGGCGCACCGAGCAGACAGCGGAGGAGGAGTTCGCTGCCGGCTTTGGGGGCGGTCGCTTCCAGGAGGGTCAGCGCCCCAAGGACGCCGACAGAGAGGCGGTGGTCAACCTCGAGGAGCGCGTCAGAGCAGGCCCCAGCCAACACGATGATGGCTTTCAGGAGTGGCTCAGGGGCCGGGACACGGAGGACATGGTGTTGACAGACAAGGATTTCATGAAGAGAGCGTTATTCAACGCGGCCGAGCTCTCAACGAAGATCAACCACACTGGACCCGTGCAGCACGTCCTGGGCTCGTCCAGGACTGATCAGCACGGGCAGGCCCTCAGCGGCCCCGTGCAGGTCCAGGCCAAGCCGAAGGCTCTGAAGAGGACCCTGGATCACGACGAGCTGCTGGTGCGCATGCTCGCCGTGCCGGTGGACGACTCCATGATGTATGCGGAGCTGCAGCAGTCGGGAGTCTGCCTGGGCATGAGCGGCGTTGGGCGCATCGAGCAGGTGGGCTCGCGCATCGAGGAGCTGAAGCAGGACGACGCCGTGTTCATACTGCCGAAGCCGACCAAGTTCAACTCGCAGCGCCCGATCGGCACCGCTCGCACGCTGCTGATCTGCAACGAGGAGGACGTCCTGCGTGTGCCTCCCGAGATCCTCGAGGAGTTGTCGCCGGAGCAGATCTGCCTGGCCCCGACCATAGTGTGCGCCTACACCATGCTGGAGAGCTTCGGCGCCAAGCTCCAGCCAGGCGATTCGGTCCTCCTCAACGCCGCGCACTTGTCCGCCTCCGGCTCGGCGATCCTGCAGCTCTGCAAGTTGCTGAAGCTGAAGCCCATCTGTCTCCTGAGCCTGCCAGGCGCCCCGAAGGACCTCGTCCGCGGCGAGTACGGCATGAAGGCAGCGTGGCAGGACTCGGTCTCGGGGAAAGAGGCCCCTCCGTCGGTCAAGAAGCAGTACGCACGCATCAG